TTTCCCTACCCGTTTTTTCAGATCATGGTTAGCTATATTACGTATGTTAGGGCCAGCGATGGTGTGGGATGTTTTTACCCCTTTTCAGTGTCAATTGCCTGAAGTACCATCTTAGGATTACTTGAAAAAGTCAGGTGTTTTTTTTTCTTTTTACTATGTGTGTATATATATATATTTCTTTTCCCTTGACGTGTTTAGCAGTTCTGTTTTCTTCTTGTATCAAAGCATTCGTAGTTCAAATCATGATATCTTTAATAGGATTTTTTTTTCCTTTTCAGCTTGAGGATAAAGTTCTAGATTGGCAGTCTTCTCCTGCCAGCACACTAAATAACTGGTTCTCCTTTGCCCCCAACTGGTCTGAACTGGTTTTGCCTGCCTTGCAGTACTTGACAGGTGACAGCAGAGGTAAGAATGGCTGTTCAAAATAATGATGATGCTTGTACCTCACTTCTAATCAGTGCTCGTTTATATTGTAGCTCCAATCAACATTGCTGCAATAAATCGTTGCATTTTTGGCTATGTTTCTGTGATGGGCATTATGGCTTTTATTTTCCTGAGAGTGATAGACTTATCTTGTGTGTGTGTGTGTGTGTACTAGATTAGATCCAGCTTCGTTACTGACTATGCAAAAATATACGTCGAGTGGCTTTTTTTTAATTGTTAAAAAGTTCTTGGCAGTCAGCCCTGTAGACTAACCTTTTATTTAGATACCTACAGAGGGGGGCACTATTAGGATTGTGGCACTGCTGTTTTCTCCTACCTGTGATCCTGTGCTTGAAACAACAAGAGATTATTTTCGGCCTGGTGCAAAGACGTTGTGGTTGTCTTTGGAGGTGGTCAAAAATCAACTAGATGAGGCCCTGAGCAATCTACTGGCAACTTGAAGCTTGCCCTGTTTTGACCTGGGGGTTGGACCAGCTAAGCTCTAGAGGTTCCTGTCAGCCTAAATTATTCTGTGATTCTCATTTGCTTTAGCTAGGAGTTTTAAAGGGGGGGACGGTGTAGACTGTAATGATCTTTGCAGCGTGGATGCCTAATATTATCCGCAGTGCTGGTGATTACTGTAAGTCTCAAGTTTGCGTCACATGAGCCCAAGAATTGTCACCGTACAGTAACAGTTTCTGCTGCTTCACTGCATGAAAAGGATCTCATCTGACAACCTGTAGGTGAAAGGCTCTTTATCCTGCTCTGTTCTTTTCTTACGCTTGCAGTGTTACTCTGAGATGCTAGCCTTCCCTTTGGGCAAGTACAAATGTGGAGATGCACTTACATAATCACTTAAAATGCTTTGTCTGTCATTAATAAGTTTAACTGAACAGCTTGTAATGTAACAGTAGGATTTTGGGGGTGCACCATGGTATGATGTCTATGAAATGCATGTCTTTCATTGCAGATGTTCCTTCTAGCTTCTCCCCTTTTGTTGAATTCAAGGAAAAAACTCAGCAGTGGAAATTGCTTGGTGAGTAACTTGTGCTCTTCTATGATTTCTACTATTGTAAAGGTTTTCTCCATGACTGCTTTTTAGCACGCTGCAGCCCAGAGAGAGACATGCAGAGTGGTTATTTCATTGGTTAGGGCTTTTCTCTTCTCTTAGCTATGCCACGTTGCGTTTATCTTCAAGACTGTCACCAGACATAAGCGTCAGCAACAGGCAGAGAATAAGTGAGCAAAGGCCCTGGACTTTATTTCTTTGTGTTGCTGATGTAACCAGGTTTATACCTACCCTTCAAAGCTGCTTAAACACCTTCATCTTTTCTCTTCTGTAGATCATACTTTCTGAGTGTTCAGAGTAATTATAAGTTATTACAATTCTTAAGGAGTTAAGCTTCTCTGTGGAACAAACTCATATTATTCTTATTTTAAAAGAGGGAATCAAAGAATAAATTAATAATAAAGTGGCCAGGCTCACAGTGAGTTAGTTGCAGATGTCTTGATTTTTTGTTTGTGGCTTTAGTTCGTAGGCAAAACGTTCTGTTCTTCAGTAATTGCCATGATTCTTGATCGTGTTTGCAGGCTCAAACAGGCTGAGGTTTGGAGTTAGGAAGGTATTCCTCCAATCCCTTTTACAATCCTTGGTGGAGGTTGTGTAGGCACCTGTTTCTGCTCAGGGATTGGGTGACCGGGTTTACTTGCAGAGTGGGACCTACCTGCCAGTATCAGGTGGCTGCGTCTCAAAAGTCCCTTGCCTGCCATGCCTGAAGTTGAAGCACGGCCCTTCATACCGACATAGGGGACTAACTAGGCTTTAGCATGTTTCTGAGCCTGAATGTGTTCAAGCAGCAAAGCTGGAGCATCTGTGAAGTGTGGAAGTTGCTTTCTAACTGGTGATGCATTGAGGTGGGAAGGGAGTGGGAGATGATTGGGAAGTAGCAGCAGCAGGGTGCTGGCTTCATAACAGATACGAGACTTCTGTTTCCTCTTTTCCTTGACTTCTTGGACTAGGTTCTTGCCAAGATCACGAGAAAGAATTGGCAGCACTTTTCCAACTCTGGTTGGAGACCAAAGACCAGACTTTTTTCAAGGTGAGTCAGAAGGATCACCTTTTAGCAGCACAAAACCCGAGTAATATTGAATATTGACTTTTCTCTGTCTTTTGACAGGAAAACGAAGACAGCTCAGATGCCACAACACCAGTTCCCAGGGTGTAAGTATATAAGTATTGGTTGAAAACTTATTTCTGCAGTGCATGTTAAAGCTATGGAGTTTGATCCTTGCGTCTCTGGATCTGAACAGCTAGCTGCCTGAAATACAAATGGGGGCAGAAGGGAATACAAATTGTGTCATGGGGGCAGGAGGGAATTGGATAGTCTGATTTTATAAATGTGGTGACTAGACTTCAAAAAATGAACTAGTTTGTCCCAAGTTCATTTATGTTATCTGAGCAGACCTGTAACTTAGCTTGTGTTCTGATTACTAGATTATTTACAGTCCCTGCTTACCTCCAGATAGGGCATAGAGCATATTTTAAGATCTCTGCAGGACTTTTCATTTTTATTAGCGTAAATGCGTTCAGAATTTGTTCTTTGGTGTGCGAAGAATCTGCAGAAAGGGTGAGATGGCTAATCCTTTGGGATATCCTTTGGAATTGCGGTTGCCTTGTTGCACAGAGCTGATGGTGATCTTTGTTTCAGAAGGACTGACTATGTAGTCCGACCCAGCACTGGAGAGGAGAAACGTGTTTTTCAGGAGCAGGTAAGAAGAGAAACTTCTCAGTTTTAGAAACACACGTTGAAACATTATTGGGAGCTAAAACAAGAAAATCTTTATTTGATGGCAGTTGTATACTCTCTAGAAACTTTGTTGACACAAAGAAGTAACAGATTTCTTCTGCTTTCAGGTAGGTATCTCGGCTCAGGTAAAACTTGCTGAAGTTACAGCCTCGTTCTTTATTTCAAAAACACCTGTTTCCAATGGGTTTGGTGCAAAATTAATTCAAATTGGTGATGCAAATATTTCCATCTCCTCTGCAGTCTCCTACCATATGAGGATTGCATCTGTATATATTTTTGAGTATGTGTACACAGAAGGAGACGAGAAGTGGGAATAAGTGTATGCGAACACTTAGTTATGTTGTCCGTAGTAGACACGAGTTCCATTGCGGTTTTAAGGCTTGTGGCGTTACTGTAAGAATGCATGCGTTAGGGTGAACGTGTGGTAAGGATTGTCCTCCCTGAATACACGTGCTGTTTGCTTGGTAGGGTACGCAGGTTAAATTTTGGAACTCTCTCTTTTGCCAGGTTAGGAGAGGAAGAAATGGCAGGTTGTCGCTGGGGGAAGGGGTGTTTGCTAGCCAGGACACATGATCTTTCACACCGGTGAAAGCAGTCTGTGCAGCAGCTCAACAGTGAACCTAACGTGCTGTACCTGGGCACTTCAGTTAGGTGGTGCTTTATATTCCGCTTGAAGAAGTTTGTGCTTGGAGAAGTTTGCCTTAATCAGAAATGAGTTTATACAGCAGTATTTCAGCTTTTAATTTTAGAAGAAAAAGTATTTTTCTCTCTAAAGAATGATACTAACTTATTGTAATATATTATAGTATAAATGCTCTGTCTCTCCTCTTCACGACTTGCGTAGCACAAGCTTCAAGACACGTGTTGTGTTGCGTAGCACAAGCTTTTTCTCTGTGTGTTTCCTGCTAAGTTGTGTCCCTCTTGTTTCCAAATACAGGAACGTTACCGCTACAGCCAGCCCCACAAGGCTTTCACCTTCCGTATGCATGGCTTTGAGTCAGTTGTTGGTCCTGTGAAGGGGGTGTTTGACAAGGAAACATCACTAAACAAAGCCCGAGAGCATTCTCTCCTGCGCTCAGACAGACCAGCCTATGTCACCATCTTGTCCCTTGGTAAGGTGATGGCATCCTCTGCAAGAAACTTAAAGGCATCCCCGTCCCCTCAAACAATGGGAATCTACGTTATAAAGGGAAAAGGTGGGTGGACTGGGATGACCTAAGTGAAGAAGACGACAGTCACATGGAATAAAGGTGGATGAAATGCTGGGAGCAGGAATAGCTAGAAAAGAAAGCTTCTCTCTGTTTACTGTTGATCTGAGAGAAGACGGGAAGTAGAGGGAAGAGAGAGTCCGTGAGGCTGGCTGGATCTAAGGCTCAGATAGCTGGAAAACCATGAGTACTGGCTTGAGTATAGTGTTGTGAAGTTGGGGCGGTACATAGTCATTCAGGAATGGAGTGCCAGTCCCCAAGTTCAGAACCAAGCCATCGCAACTGATGTACTTTAAAAGAATCCTTTACAGTGTGCTCATAGAGTCAATCAGGGGCCCTGGGGGAGCACGAGGGCTAGATTTTAGTGAGCAAGTAAGCACTATGAGAGTAAGGATAAGAAAGCAACACAGAAACATATCTGCTGAAGAACTTGAATGCAGACACCTAGTTAAGGCTGTAAGTTTAAGCTCTGATTTTCTGTTTCAGTTCGTGACGCTGCTGCTCGCCTTCCTAACGGAGAAGGAACTCGTGCGGAAATCTGTGAGCTGCTTAAAGATTCCCAGTTCCTTGCTCCTGATGTCACAAGTGCTCAAGTAAGTTGGATGTCACGTCTTAACCTCCAACAGGCTCTGCTAAAATACACTGCAGCAGACCCAGGCAGTATTCACTGACTAAGGTCTGATCACTTTTGTGCTTCTTGAGACTTGCGGAGGAGAGCTATATACCGTTCTGGTGAGCTGTGGCTGCGCTGAACTCTGGCTGGTGGAAAAACAGCTAGAAAGTTCACACAATTAGTACTGTGTCATATAGCTGCTCTCACTTCAGATTGAGAAACGTTGTCAGTTCTCAGAGACCTCGGCCTTGGCAGATGTTCCATTCAATCTGAGTAGAAAAGCAGCATCTTCTGCTGCAACATCTGCTCTTTAAGAACAGTCGTTCCTTACTCAAATGAAGACTGCTAGCAACTTTTTACAGTTATATGCCAAATAGGATCAACTTTCCTATTCGTGACCTTTAGTTGGCCCAGGCTGGGGCATCTTGTAATACTGTGAATTCCAAATTTTCAGGTTAATACTGTTGTTAGTGGTGCTTTGGACCGATTGCATTATGAGAAAGATCCCTGTGTGAAGTACGATATTGGCCGCAAGTTGTGGATATACCTGCACCGGGATAGGAGTGAGGAAGAGTTTGGTAAGCCTGGCCTGGTGGTACTACCCTATTCTATATCTTCCAAAGTGAAGATGTTTATAAATCTAATTTTGTGTTTTGCTTTCCATTTTGCTATTGAGCTTCTTCACTCCAGCTGCATGATGAGCATTAATTTGTCAGTCCAGCTTTTTTCTGTAGTCGGTTTGCTAACAGTAGTCCATCAGCTCTTAAGTCCAGTCCTGCAGATAAACGTGTCAATTCGAAATGAGTATTTGTTAGAAAAATTAACATCCCTGTGTGCAAGAACTACAAACATATGTACATTGACAGCTTCTAGCACATCTTTGTTTCAGCCTTTTTTTGGCTTATTCTGCTTGGTATTGTTCTTTTGGCTAGTGCCTGACTCTGTGTACATGTGTGTTTAATTTCTTATTGTCTGAAAACGTATTTATAGTGTTGGATAACCACTTTCTTAACTCAGTTTGCCTCTGTTCAGGAACTGTAACTAGTAATTTATATTCACAGAACGGATTCACCAGGCTCAAGCTGCTGCAGCAAAGGCTAAGAAAGCCCTTCAGCAGAAGCCAAAACCTCCGGCTAAAATGGTAAGTTTCTTTGCACAGGTTTGCGCAGATACTTTCGGGATTGGGAATGAGATAGGGACATAACCTAATCCATACATTTTGCATCCACAGCAGCTAATGAAAATTCCCTCCTATTCGATTTATCAATTCACTCTGTGTATGTGAACACAAGCGTTAGTCTTGTACCACTGAACGAAATGAAGAGGGAAGGACAGAAGCTGTTGCTTCTTGCAGCTTCCACTGTTATCCTTGTTGATCTCAGCAGAAAGTTCAAAGGAATTGATTTGTGCCCCCTGTTTTAGGAATGGTCTCTTCAGATGCAGTTTTGAGGTTAATCTGTGGCACAGAGCGTGCATCACATCTGCTCCCCCTTGCTGTGCTTAAGCTGTGAGGGTTTGGATGTCTTTTTTTTTTTCTCTTTTTTAATATCAAACGTCCTTAAAATAGTTGCAATTGGCAAACTAACTAAGGTGGAAAATTTCCGAATGTTATGAATGTCTGTCGCTGCTGAGATGCATTTCTGCTTGAGAACAGGGGCAGTCAAACTGCCCAGCTCGCTAGTGGCTGCAGCGGAGGGAGGAGGACAGTCATTCATCGGTGATTTCGGGATTTTGCACCTCAGGATTTTGGACATCATTCATATCCCTATAGACCTCAGTTTCAAATGCACATCTCGTTCTTTGCAGAATGAGCAATCAAAGCCAGATTCTGTCAAGACCTCATGCTGTATGTGGTTTCTTTGCAGAAATCTAGTAGCAAGGAGAGTTCTGTGAAAGCGCTCCCTAGCAGCACATCAGAGCCCAGTCAGCTGAGCCTTAGTGACTCGAGCATGCCGCCGACTCCTGTGACTCCTGTGACACCAACTGCACCAGCGTTACCAGCAACACCTATTTCACCCCCACCAGTGTCTGTGGTTAGCAAGAGCGTACCTAGTGCTGGATCAGAGCCAGCAAAACCTAGCCAAAGGTATGCCATGCTTCTGTCTCCTGCATCACTTCTGAATGTTCTGATCCCCTCTGTCATCTCCTACATCTTTGCTGACCTGCTGGCTTTGTCTTTTCTGTAGTGTTCTTCTGGTATCATCCCCTACCATGCCACAGCTTGGGACATTGCTTTCTACAGCCCAGAGTTCACAGACGCAGCCTGGGCCACAGCCGCCTCCCACCCGGGTGGTAAGTCACACCACGTCGTCAGGACTGTCCCAGGTCCGAGTGGTCGCTGCCCAGTCCAGCCTCCCAGCTGTGTCTCAGCAAGCCCCAGTGGTAACCCAGCAGCAGCAGTCAACGTCAGTGCCTCAGATCCGCGTTCCAGCTACAGCCACACAAACCAAAGTGCTGCCGCAGGTAAGACTGCGGGGCTGCGTGGAAATGGCGAAGCGACCCTGATTTCTATCCTGTGGGGCTCCCTAGTATTTTTGGAATAGTGAACAGGGTTTACTTGCTTATGTGGAACATGCAGTTGACTGCAGGACAGGAGCATAGAAACAGTTGCACAGAATACTGTTGTGTCTCTTTTTTTTCCTCCCCGTTTTTTATTTCTGTGACACAGTTAATGTAGCATAACAGCCAAAGAGTCCACAGAACTTGGAAGCTAAGGCATAAAATGAAAAGAATGAGTATTAGCCTGTTCATAAGCTGCCTCTGTGTCCTGCTATAGGCTGTGATGACTCTGCCAGTGAAAGCTCAAACCAGCCCAGTGCAGGTGCAAAGACCGGGAAGCTCTGTGACAGGACAGACGGGCATCACTGTGGCAGGACTGTCTGCAGCACCCAGTCCTGCTGTAAAGCCGGTAACCAGCTCTCCAGGCAGTTCTGCTACAAGCACCTCCTCTACCACTGTCATCCAGAATGTAGCTGGCCAGAATATCATCAAGCAGGTGAGAGAGAGGGAGGGATGAGGAAGCGGACTTGGTGATTCAGGTGTTTCCTGTTTGTGACAGACTTGATGGGCAAATGTGAAAAGATAGTGAAAGCGATAGTGAGCCATATTGTTGCGTGAGTTGATTCACCATACAGATTTAGGCAGTTGCTCTTTTGCTGTGTTTGAGCCCCATTTTCATGCGCTCATAGCAGACCAAAAACTGCGTTCTGTGCATCTGGACAACATACAAGGGAGGAATGTGTTTGTGCAGGTTCTTTGACTTAGCATCTTAGGATGTTTGGAAAAGAAGCAAACTCCGTAGTGTTTCGAATTTTGATATGGTTTTGGAAATGCCATCTAATGAGCAACCAAAACCTGTTTCAGCTACGTAGCGAGTGCTAGCAGCCTGCTGAAATGTCGTTTCAGTTTTTATAGGAGGAAAGAGTATCAGCCGCTGAGCAAATACCGTCCTGTTGGGAAGTTTTTTTACTTTGTGTCTGGCTGTGCCTTGGACTGGGTCCTGGTTTGATATAGTTGTTTCTGTGATCTCTTCCAGGTGGCTATTACAGGGCAACTTGGCATGAAGACCCAGCCGGGAAGTGGTATCCCACTCACAGCTACCAATTTTCGGATCCAAGGAAAGGATGTGTTGCGCCTGCCCCCATCCTCAATCACCACGGATGCGAAGGGACAGACCGTGCTGCGTATCACCCCGGACATGATGGCCACCCTGGCCAAATCTCAAGTCACTACTGTCAAACTCACTCAGGACCTTTTCACAGCAGCTGCAGGAAGCAGTGCTAGTGGGAAGGGCATCTCGGCAACTTTGCACGTGACATCCAATCCTGTTCAGACTGCTGATTCTCCAGCCAAGACTAGCACAGCCACTTCTGCTTCTTCCAGCCCGGCTGGAAGCACAGTGGTTAAAGTGACTCCTGACTTAAAGACTGCAGAGCCAGCGAGCTCCGCTTTCAGACTGATGCCTGCTCTGGGCATGACTGTGGCAGACCAGAAGAGCAAAGCCATTACTACGGTGGCATCCACTGAGGCCAAACCGGCTGCTACTATAAGAATTGTGCAGGGGCTGGGGGTGATGCCACCCAAAGCTGGGCAGACCATTACTGTAGCTACTCATGCTAAGCAAGTGCCCTCTTCCTCAGCAGTGAGCGTGCCTGGCACAGTCCATACCTCAGCTGTCTCGTTACCGACCGTGAGTGCCACAGTGTCGAAAGCAGTAGCTGTGGCCTCAGGGGCTGCAGGGACTCCCATAACTATAGGCACAGGAGCCACTGCTGTGCGGCAGGTACCCGTGAGCACCACAGTAGTATCCACGTCCCAGGCAGTAAGTAATACTAAGCTTTTTCTGGAGGTGGGTGAGAAAGGGGAACGCTAAAGATACTGATGGTTTATGTCTCTTTATATCCACAAGGGCTCAAATTAAGTACTGTAGAACATGAGTCTGCAATTAATTTCATTGTGTTGGAATTGTGGTTAAATGCCGAATGACTAGAACAACAGTCAGATGTCTGTCTTCCCTTAACGCCTGTTGAGAGTAAATAAAATAAACTTCGCTTATCTAAAGTCCTACCTCTTGCAGTTAAGCGTCTTGCCCTGCCCCTCTGGAATAATTTCCCTTGGAACGGTATCAGAACTAAAAGTGCTCGTTACTTGTGTTAACTTTTTTACTGAATTCCCAGTTTAATACAGTTTGAAGGCACAGATTTCATCAGCAAAGCTGCTGTTGGTTTCTACTCCCAAGACTCCTAAAAAGCAAACTGCATGGTAATTGCATGTTGTCAAGCAGTTTCTCTGCTGAACTCCCCACTGCTCCTCATACGTTCTTCAACTTCTCTAGGGTAAACTACCAGCACGAATAACAGTGCCTCTGTCAGTGATCAGCCAGCCAGTGAAAGGCAAGAGTGTGGTGACTGCCCCCATCATCAAGGGCAACCTTGGGGCCAAGTGAGTACTTTGCATGTATACCAGCAAGCAACACCTGGTAGCTTTGCTTTAAAAATAGGCTAAGGAAGGTCTGTGATCAATCAGGTTCCTAGAGACCTAGAGAGCGGAGGGTGGAAGTGACCTGCAGTCTGTTAATAGGTCCATTAACTGCAGGAAACTAAATTAGTACAGCGTCTTGTGATAAGAACGCAGTCTCTGTTTAGGTGCCCTGGGACGTAGGTTCTCGCGATCTGCTGCAGAGAAAAAAAAAAGTTCTTTGCTTGACAGTAGTTATTAGATGAATTCTGTGTGTTTGAGCAAGAAATAACCTGGTGACATACCTAAAAATATTTATAATCTGAGGCTATCTCTTTCTGTTAAAGAAACGAGTGCAGTGTTAACTGCATCGGTGCAAATTCCTCTGGCATTCAGGTATTGAAGTCTTTTTGTTTATTCTTCCATGAATTCTGGTAGTGTCCCCCTTCGTTAAATCTTCAAGGCAGAACACTGTGTGCTTAGCTATTTTTTGCATTCCTTTGGAAGTGTTCAGGTCTGATTAGACTAACCCAGGGTGGTGCACAGCTGAGAGTTAAAGGGTTTAATTCATGTGATAAAGTAAAGTAATGTTCTCTTGTCATGAGAAGTGTTGACATAAACTTGTCACTTTTGTATCGGTCAGTGTTGTCAGACAAAAAAAATCATTAGCGAATTAGATAAGTAACTTTGATCTCTTAGCACCGGAAGAACAGTTTAGGCAGAACTGAGAAAGCGCTTTTTGTAGATGAACCAAAAATTAATGCATTTATCTCAGCGTAGCTTGTCTTACAACATACCTCGTTACTGTATACACGTTATCTGCTTTTATGTGACTGAGTGTGTTTTGAGGACAGGGTTATATAAATACTGGTGACAGTGGGACACAGAAGTCACTAAGGAGCTCCTGAAGGTGGAATGGGGCATCTGAGGTTGAACGTTGTGATCCGAGAGATCTGGCCTGCTGTGCTGTTTACTGACCTTTCAACGATTCTCTTTCCTTAGCATCAGTGGACTGGGTAGAAATATCATCCTGACTACGATGCCAGCAGGGACAAAACTGATTGCTGGGAACAAACCAGTGAGTTTTCTGACTGCACAGCAACTGCAGCAGCTGCAGCAACAAGGCCAGGCCACGCAGGTAAAGATACTTAAAATGATGGGATCATTTGCTTTTTGCTGACTTGACTTAACTCCACGGGGACTTTATACTTGATGCACGCGGTTCCATAAAAAGGACAGGTACACAACCTCGCTGTGGTGCCTACATTAAGCTCATGCAGTCTATCATCTCCTTTACCTTCCTTGCATCCAGGTATGTTTTTTAGATGTTTCTGAAGTACCGATAGTATAATGAATGTAAAACCAAAAATCCTGTCAGGAAGTGTTCCTGACTGATTGAAGGAATCTTCCTATACACTTCGCTTTTTTGTAGTGCTCTCTACTTTGGGATCTGCAGGTCCCCATGTCTCGGAGAAGTTGCATCCCTTCTTTGTACATCCATCTCTCTGTCTACAGATGCAGTGTTCTGTAATTCCAAACAGGTAATCTGCATTGAGAGCTGTTAGTAACAAGCCTGTAGAAGTGAAGTATCCAAAGGATCCAAGTCATTCTTCTGAAAACTTGTAAAAGCAGTTGACATGTATGTTTTTCTTGAAACTAGTCCTTGCTCTCTAATCTCAAGATCTCTCGCTACCATCCCACGTGAACAGTAGATGCCCTGATCTTCTTGTGCCAGAGTCTGTTCTTCATGTATTTTGCTGCTTGGTCTTGTTCATATAACTGAATTTGTGCTGTGATGGAAGCAGGTGATTTACCAGTGTGGGAGTGGGATGCAAGTGCGATGTCTCATGAGGTTGTTCTTGACGTGCGTTGAATTTTTTTCTTTCCATTTCAAACAGGTGCGCATTCAAACAGTACCAGCCTCCCATCTCCAGCAGGGAACAGTGTCTGGCACTACCAAAGCAGTTTCCACTGTGGTCGTGACAACTGCTCCATCTCCAAAACAGACCCAAGATCAGCTGTGAACACTGGTTTGAAAGTGGATCATTTTTCAGGAACTTGCCTGATTCCATTGTCATCCTCCATCCAGCCACCCGAGACTACCTAACTGCAAGTCATAGTTAGGGATTGGACTGAAATCCGCCACGTGCCAAAAGCAACACGCATTGCTTGTCTGGAGTCAGCATTGTGATGTCTAGGTAGAAATTCCACAGCAAAAGATGCTGTGCTTACAAAACAAAATGTTTCAGTCCAGATGTGCAAAGCCAAGTTCTTTGGCATTGATCGTGTAAGAAATGTCTTCCTTCTTTGTTCTCTTCCCATCTGAATGGCTTTTTCCAAATGGCCGTCTCTCGTTTCTGTGCATTTTGGGTTGTAGACAAAGCAGTTAATCTTGGGTCTTCCTTAACCAGTGAAACTTGCTTGGAAGGATTAATTCAGTGGCTTTTCAAAGTCATGATGAAGATACGTTCTTTTGCTGGAGACTAGCTGTCAAGACTTTTATATAGGTGACTTAGGACAGCGGCTTGGACACCAGAGTTTGTTTGTAACATAGCCTGGAAGTAGATCCCTAACACATTCAGTTTACTATTTATAGACTTTTTTAATACCTCTCCCCTGTCTCTGAGCTCAAACTTCATGATGAGCAGATCCCACTTCCATGTCAAATTTCTGTCAGAGTCTTTGTTATGCTTAAAGGCAGGAAGAGTCCCTCGTCAAGACAGTTCTTGTTGTAAAAAGGCTAGTAAACGTGGGAAAGGGTGAGAACTGGAGGAGATGTGGAAAGTCATTGTGTGAACAACTGTGTCAGCAAATGGAATATACTGAAAAGGAAAAAGAAAGTGGTCACCGGAAACTTCCTCGTTTAGTTTTCTTCAGCCACCTTTTTATCAGTCAAAAAAGAGCGTAGCTTGTTTTAAAAAATTGGAATATGATTTCAAATATACCCAAACTGTAGTCTCTCCGACTTGGACAGAAGAAATATTTTAACCCGTGAGCCTGGCCTTTAGTTTGATTTTTTTATCTTTGCAATTTTATCTTTCTATATACGTTGTTTGAATTTTGCACGTAACCAGAGACCAATTTGTTGCTGTTCTGACGTGACCTGGAAGCATTCTTTGAAAGAGATCAGAAGAAATGTTGGACTAGGAAAAGAATAAAAGTGCAGAAAGCCTTACAAACCTATCTGCCATCTCTTTTCGGTTTTGTACAGCTTGTTGTTTTGTGTACAATGATTGTCTAGCCTGTCAAGGGCTAATAGATTGTCCATCTTCCTTTGTAAGATGGTCCTTTTTAACATATTTTACCTTGTGTTCTTTTTTAAAATATGTGCTTTGCTCTGAGTTACCCAATACTGAATATAATCTATTTAAAGAACCACATCTTATAGTTCAGTGCTTTTCTGGGTGAAGCTGAACTTCACGGCAGAAGCCTCAGTTGGCGCTATGCGTGTCGCTGTTGAGAACCATTGCGCCTGAGCAGAGCAGGCAGCTTTACTGGGCTTCAGGCTGCGTGTCTCAGTCCTCCTGTACAACAGCTAACCTAGGTCAGGGGTGGGTTGGAGGAAATCAGATATTTAAATTAAAAAAAAGGGTATAGCTGCAAGAATTCAATAAGCAGGACACACCAGTACACCATTTTAAAGCATTTCCTTGAATTTGTATGCCTCAGGGATAGAATTTAGAGTGATAAAGCTTTTCTGAGCACCTTTCCTGCTTTGTCAATTTTTATACCTATTTGTACCTCTTTTGCGCATTTAATCTATAAGCTAAGTGGACAGCAGGAAGGCCTGTGGTTTGGGAGGGAGGTGCTGAAATTTTTAAGTCCTTTTGCCTGAGAAAGGACACCAGAGCCAGTTGTAAAATTGAAACAAGAAATGGAAGAGACAACTAAAAACTTCCTTGTGTTGCTCATGTGAAAAAGAACTGCTAAATTCAAAACAAATTCAGGATCCTGTTATGCTAATTCTCTTCATTATTAATAAAATTCTTCAGTCTCAAAACCTAAAATCAAGTGCTGAAAGACGTTACAGTGTTGAACACCTTAAATTTGTGTGAATCCTCTTGCAACTAGCTACACGAATTTGACACAGGAGACTTTGGCTGTGCTAGGCTTAAAAAAAAAATAACAGGAAGCCTGCATCTAATCGCATAATTTAGTCTTGCCGTGAGATTCTTGCTGCTGCAGAGTTGTTAGAGTCTTGCTGTTCTGGGGCCTCATCACCTCTCTTCTTCCATCACTGCCTTTGCTAAACTGGTTGCTAACGTGTGAGTTACCTTTACATTCGTTACTGCTTTGCTGAAGCCTGTTCTCTTTGCTTTTGAAACCTGTGATCTCTGGGGAAAGAGCATCAGTCACTATGTGAGCTTTGTATTTGAAAGACCTATGTGCTGGATTAAACAGTCTATGTTTACTACCAACTTTCAAGAACAAAGTACAGCCTGTCCTGTGGTTCAGCTGCTACCCATCAGATGAGTTGCTTCCACTCTGGTTGAAAAATAACTCTTCAGTTATTGCAAGTTAAGGCCCCTGGTTTTTAATAAGTAACTTCTAACTTCTGCATGATAGGCTGAAGGACAGAGAAGGACTTCAATTAGTTTGTTGGTCCGTGAGTGCGCTGGGACTGCATATTTAACCTAGGCTATGTTCCAGGTGCTGTTTGCTCCTGTGTCCTCTTCCACATTAGGATGCCCTGATAGCCCAGTGAACTCTCTTTGGGGTTAGTGTTCCTTTTTAAATGCAAATAGTTAATTAGAAAATGACTTGCATATTTTAAAAGTTGATCTTCATCTTCCGAATGTGTTAAAGTCATTGGCACACGGTTTTTAGGTAAATACAAAAACCTGTTATTCGTTTTTCACATGGCAAAACTGAATCATAGAAACTGGGACAAAGTAGCAGTAGACTCAGCTTTAGTACCTAGTCCTGCCTGGAGTGAGTTTGGTACTTGTTGCCTAACGTCAGGACCCTTCTGAGTACTGCTCGCATAGCACTATATGATGGCAATCTGATGTTTAGACTTTTGCCCCACAGCCTTAAGTACAGTGACTTGTTACAGACCTGGCAAATCAGAGTGGGAAAGAAGGGATTGTATGCCTGTAGATCTACCTATGCTGTGGCTTTAATGCTGTTCTTGTGCCTGGCTTGTTTATAAATAATCACAGCTGCAGCATACCTCTTTTCCCCCCTAACTTTAAAGTGTTTAAAAGAATCTTTCCCAACTAAGTATTTTCTGTTCATGTGAACATTACCGTTCCATTAATAAACTATGAAAATTCATTATCTGCAGCAGAGTAGCACCTTGAAATTCTGACTAAAATCTGAATCTCTGCTCTGCCTTATTCATTAGAAACTGTATAGGCTCTGGGGAGCTTTCAGTTTGAAACTGGAGAGCTGAATGGCATCAGGAAGTAAAAACGCATAAGTTTGGTAATGAAACGAGGTTAAAAATTACTCTTAAAATTGCATAGGAATTCTGTGGAGAAGTGGGAATCTGATCTAATCTCTAAAGTTCCACCTACTGTTGCAGTCAACAGAAAAATCCTTTCATTTTCTTAATAATCCATCTGGATTCTAGGAATGAAGAAAGGGCTGCTTGGAGCCATCTCCTTCCTGGTCTGTTGCTCTTAAGAGCAGAGTGTAGGAACTTCTAACAAACTTCAGTCTCTCGGTATCTTGGAGTCTGATACACTTCTTCCATATTTTAATGCACCTGCAGGAGAATAATATCGGCATAGGTATAGTTAATATAACCTGTTGCTGGCTAACAACCAAGTTAGGTCTATCTGAAACTGTTACTTGAATCACATAGTTATGTCGGTAGTTATGTTGTAAATCAAAAGTGGATCCTCTGTGCTACGTTGGCCCCTTCAAGCATAGCCTTATATTTTTCACTCTCTCCATTGTTTACTTGCATCCAAGTATAGCTGCGGGAATTTGCATTTTGGCACCAGTAGAGTGATTAAATGTCAACACTGTCCTCTGCTCTAGTCTTTAATAACTTCAGAAAAGAGACATACTTCTATGCTTTGCTGTTCAGTTTGCATTTTCAGTTGCTCCTTGGGGGCTGGTTCACCTGCTTGTACAACTGTGCAATAAATTTTGAGGGCTAGGCAGCCCCTGGGTGCTTGAATTTGTCATCTTCCCTCTGTTTATCTTGTATGCCCAACTGTTCCTGAGTTATTGACCTGCTATCACATTAGATGTCATTCACTCTAGCTGATGCCTTGCTGTGATGCTTTTGAATTCCAGCTTAGTATGGTCATTTAATGGTGGTTTTGTGGATGTATATGGAAACATGGGGTCATTTTTGCAAACCATGGATAGCAGTTCTCCCACCCTGCCTCCCGCTGTTCAACCCTGCTACGTACCAGTAAGTGGTGGGATAGCTGAGGGTGACAAGGAGCAGAATCGCCATATAATGCCAGCAGAAGCACATGGTAATGAACATGATGTTTTCATGATCAGACTGGTCCCAGCCTGGCCCACCCCATGGTGGGTACAGAACAAATCCAATCTGGTTAGAAGAAAGGGTATTATGAGCAGGCTGGTAAGTGAATGATACTCTTTTTCTTCGAGCTGCTGTTGAAAAACAGATTGCCTTGGCATGTTTGCTTAGCTATTATTGAGGCTAGATCTAAAAAGGAAGTCTAAATACCTAAATCCATTAGTATATTCTGTGGCTCCTCTGCATTTATCAAGATGAAATTGAAAATGTAGTGTGAATACTCTGTGTAGTTTTGAACCTAGGCTTCATTAGCACTCCAGCATCTAATAATGGTGCAGTATATCTCGGTCTTTGTCCAGGTTGCTGCTTGGAGATACAGAGGTGACGTTGCACCTATTTGCAACGGGGAAATTATGGCAGCCAGAGATTGTGGCTGGATGAATTGTTCTTAACTTGTGCATTGAAATTCTAGATACAGAAGTCTGAATTGCTCACCCTAGGCTGCTTTTGCAGCCAGTGCTGCCTCCAGAGGGCCGTTCATGTGACCTCTCAGATTCCTCTTATAGCAAGAATTGCTCTCTGGATACAGCTGTTTCTTTCTGTTGACTATTAAAAGAACCGTGGATGACTACCCCAAATTTGGGCTTTTGGACATTTAGCTTAGGGCAGATGAATCTTATGTAAAGTTACCACCCAAGACTGTGTGGGAAGACTGTGGTAGACAAAGGTAGTATACTCAGGTCTTTCAGATTCCATTTAGTTTTATTGTTAAATTGCTCTCATTTGTCTGAGGCGCAAGCCTGTCAGTTGAGAGAGGTCTTACAATTTTTGAGTTTTGCATTTTCCCAAAATAGCCTAAGCATTTTGCCTTTAAAATAATCTCTGACATTTACTTTCCCACAAGTCCAACAGAGTTCCCATCTGTGGACTGTGATGGCATACTGTGAAATTCTCCTTCGGCTTGTAGAGGAGTCCTCTTTCCTATTCAGTTGCAAATGCTATCAATCTCCAGTTTCAGCATGGATTAATCTTGACGTACTGCTTTGAGGCCTAAAAACTGGTGAATCATAGGTAAATTGTTTTAAGAACCAATTTGTTCCCTTAGGACCTAGAAGTATTCACCAAACTAGCTCAGTAAGACTTACATCTATATCTTGTGATGTTACTTATTCTCACTGCCAGGTTGCAAGTCTGAGAACAAAGTAACTCACCTGCCAGAACCAGGATCCTTGCAGCAGAAACATGCTGGTCTTTAAGAGCTCCAGGATCGGGCGGTTTCGCAAGAACACTTCAAAGAGAGAGCAGAAGGCACCACCGAATATGGGAAGGAGCATCAACAAGTGGACGTGCTGATCCAGAGCAAGGCGGTCGTGGCCGTGAAAATAGAAGAGCAGACCTGCCGAAAGTCACGCTGTTTTACCTGTTGCGCTAATGCCGCATAAAGAGTTAACAAGGGCCTGGAAGGAAGGATCTCAAAAGATGATGGCATTGTTTGAAACTGAGTAAGTGACTTTAATGTGTTGAGGTGCCATTCTGAATGAATTTTCAGCAGCAGGGGAAAATTTTTCGGTTTATCCTTGGGGGAGCAGTGGCTACTTGGTATGTGCAAGACAGAGAGAAACTCTCCGTTCATGCAGAAATAGGCTTGATTGCTCAAACAGAGTATGTGCACTAAGAACTTTTCACCTGCTTAAACCAGCTGCCTGAAAGACCCCCTATCGTGGGAGCTGTCTGTTCCCTTTCTTCTTGCATTCTCAGTTATACAGTGAAACTATGGGTATGGGTAGACAATCAAAAGCCATCGAGTATCTGTAGCTTTATGGATTGATGATCTCCTGTTGTACTGCCTTCCTTGTTTAAGGAAATGCGTTCCACTTCATAGCTGGGGTGGCCTGAGTGACAAGCGATAACTTGGTAAGCGGTTGAACTGTGCTTTGTTTCTGAGCGTTCCTGAAAGAACACTTTCCGTTTAGGCTGACCTGTAAAAGCTGTGAAGCATGCTGAAAGCTGGCGATAAGCAGAGAGGGAAGCTGTAAGTCCAGTCAACCTGTTACTGCTTTTGTCAGTTTTACTGATAAAGTGTCATACGTGATCTCTGATTTTGGCGGCATACCAAAAGTCATAAAACTCACTGGTATTCCGAACACGTTAAGACACCTGGGCAGAAAGGAATGTGTTAATCTTCACAGCTAGGCTTTCCCAAGAGAAATGTGAGGCAGAATGGGGGACAGGAGCCAGCAAAGGCCTTAAGTGCTTCATTGTTACAGAAATAACACCCTACTCCTTGAAAGGCAGCATAAAGGCTTAGCCTGTGTATTTAGGTAGCTGTGACCAGGAGAGAGAGTCCACAGTCAGAGGGGTGAGTCCCGTGGCTACAGTGCTTCAACAGTCTCTGTCTGTTGCTACTAACCTTGAATGAACATAGCTTGGGAGAGCATGAAGTGGTCCAGCCCAGGCAGTACCTTGAGGTGGAGAGCGCTGAGTACTTCCGCTATGCCAGAGAGGCCGTAGGCAAGGTACATGGTTCCATGCGTCCAGGCTAACAGATTCACCCAGCTGTTACCGTTTTTGTTGTAGAGATGCAAGCAGGGTCCCCCAGGAATGAACTGCCCAGCAAAAAATCCTGGCCAAGGGCAAAGAGCAATCAAGGGAAGGGAAGGAAAACAGCTTTACCATCTGTGATAGGCCAGGCTTGTATAGCAGTAGTATCTCTTCTAAGACAAATGGATATACTTAGGAAAAACAGACAAGTTTGTGCGCTTCTGGCTTTTGAGGTCTACTACAGAGAGGGGGAAGTCAAAGCTGAACATACAGGCGCTGTGCCAAAAAAAGCCCTTCTCCTAGGGAATAACTGGCCTTGCCTGACTTCATTATACAGTCAGGCAAGCGTTGGGTAAGTGCTTATTCAGTATTAATTATGATATTAGTCATTATTAATCAGACAGGGTGGAGGACCTGTACTTCTGACAGAAGCAGTGAGACTGATTGTCTTAACTGTACAAATGCCTGTCAATCTTTCTGAAGTTAAAAGGCAGATACATCTTCTTAAAGCTTATCTATGAAATACGACAGGAGAGGTCCTTCAAAACCCACTAGGCAGATTCTCTTTCCTTTCCCATTATGTAGGAAACTGAGTATTTGTTGTTTGTAATGGCATGCACTGATCCCAAGGTGCTACCCAGATGGGGGAAATAATGTAGTGCTAGCGGTGAAAGGCAGATCGAGTGATAGAGCACTTACCTATTAGAGAAAGGGAGGTCTTGGCCACTGCTTCAAGGACCTCCAGACACTGAAAATACTTATTGGCGCTGAAGATTTTGTTCTCTTTTTGCATGAAGTGCTTGATGGGGTGTTTCACACACCACAGGAGTCCAAGTCCTAGGAAGTAAGAGCCCGGAAGGGCGTGTCCTTCAAAGCTCTTCATCACTATATGTTATGGAAAGACAAAAAGATCTCAGTGTCAAAAAAATATGGTGTTTCTTTAGTTTTAAAACTCTTACACAAAGGAGGCTATTATGTTATGTTGGTATTTATGGCAGACCAACAGAGTCAGTGATTCTGCCCTTTGCCAATCCATAGTGGCCTGATTTTTAAAGTGGTCCAAGCAGCTTTCCTTGATTATGTCCGTGCACCTAGATTTTAACAATTTTGGCAAGCAGGATCAGGGTTTGTTGCAGTAAAGCTGGATTTAACCCCTGCTTATGTTTTTGCTGTTTTTTGAAATACAAGTCAAGCATCACAGAGAGCAACAATTGGCTTTCGAATAAGTTGTTTCACATTATTTCCAGGTAGACGTTGGCAACAGAGCCAGAACAGCTGATGGATTTGCAGATGTTAATTATTTCCTCAGAAAGGATTTCTTATGATGGCAATTACCAGTTGAATTTGCGGGGCTGACATTTTCCCAAGAGCCAGAAATGCTAGGTGGATAACAAGGTGACAGTTTTAAAAAAAATATAGCTGGTCTCATTAATTTGTGTAGCTATAGCAACAGATGAGGTTGCTCAGTACTTTCCACTGTGTTTACTTAAAATTTCAGCAGGCTTTCATTTTTGAGCTGATATTTTCCATGCTAGGTATCTGCCTCTAGCTGAAATTTGGGGGAAAATTTCAGTAAAATAATTCCAAAATTTCTATTAATAGGATGAGGGAAGAATAGACTGCTTTGCCCTTCACTCTTTCACACAGTGCCCACTGTGACCTTGGAAAAGCCACTTGGCCCTTCCTTGCCTCTGTTCTCCAGCAGCTTACTCCATAGGGAGCAGAGGAAGCGAAAGCAGGGGTGAGTTTGACAATCCCATGTTATGTTGGTAGGGGAAGATAAATAGAATGATGGGATTTCATGAGAAAACTGGGGGAAGGAGTTGGCAGCAAGCTAGCGAAAGGAAAGAAGGAATACCAGGCAGAAGGGCAACAAGGCTGCAAGGGACGGGGCAGGCGGGATGTAACCACACCTTCCCTAAAACTGGTATCAGTTCCTTGACTCCCATTTCCACATTCCCAAGGTGTGCCATGTCAGCAGAGAGTTTAGCAATCAAGATCAGTCTTGATTTTCCTTTCAGAGTTACAGCTTGGCTACATTTGGATGGTTTTCAGGCAGGTTGGCAAAAGGCATGTCTCCAGCACCAGAGCTTGCTCCGAGGTATGCAGGAGCAAGACCTTACCAAGGGAAGGTTTCAAGAGGTTCGTTTTTATCCAAAGCTAAACAGTGCAACTCTTTTGCTTAAGCAGCAGCAGAAATGTTTTAACAGAAGTGTAATGAAAAACTCTAAAGAGAGACAGATAAAAACAGTTTTCTGACTTCATTTGCTAGCGTTAGCAGCAATGTGTGAGGGAATTGGTGTCTTTTTTATAAGATTAATGTCATATTTTGCCTGTGACAAAACCATAAACATTTCAAACCTTGAACTCTTACTTTTCCAAAGACCACTCCTGAGCTACCTGAAAGGAGCTGCGAAACAGAGCAGACATAGCAGACATCTTCAGTACGCATGCTGTTTATTGCAGCGTGCTTGGCATTGCTATGCTAGGAGAGCTGTAACAATTCCCTTTAAAGTTAGAAAGGCATGGCATCCGTGATGCTTTAAGGATTGAGCTTGTCCGATGTAATGCACCGGCGCCTCACATCATACTGTGCCCTTGTTGTGCTTTATTAAGGGCACTACAACAAATATAAGACTCATTCTCATTCTAGTTCTTTACCTGTTCACTCCTGTGATCTCTGCATTCACTTTTCTGCCTCATCAGTTTAGCTCCTGAGTTCAGATTTAAATTTAATGTGCTTTGGTCCTGCAGGGGCTCAGTGTGCCATGGTCACCGGCCCATTCACCCTTCTTTCCTCTTGTGTTTCATTAAAGCGACGCAAGCGTGAGATCCTTTGTTACCTAAATTCACT